CCCCCCCCCCCCCCCCCCCCCCACTGTCCTGAAATCATTAGTCTGTATTGTTTTAGAAAAGCTGTCACATGACATTACACAAAAATGTATCAGTACTTGTATCTGTGAGTACTTGAGCAAGTATCAGTACTTGTACTTGCAAAACTGTTATCGGTGCATCCCATTATTTATATTTATAAAAACAAAATCATTGCGCAAATCTCACGTTTCATTCACTCCCATCGCACACATCAGCAGAATGCTTCTACCCAAATCTTCAAAAGACTTCTAGCCTCCTCTCCGCCCAAGCTATCCCTATCCAACCTATACCTCTCGTTCCGTGACATTCACCAACAGCCAGACCAATACACTCCCACATTTGTCCACCTGTGGGCCCAATTGATAGGATGCCCAGTAGATGACACTTTTGATAGTATTCTACGTGTGTGGCAACACGTCAGGAATAATATAATTAGTGAATCGTGGCGAGAGACACAATTCAAACTACTTCACCGTGCCTACTACGCTTTCAACTTCGTTCCTGTCTCTTCAACACCAGACTGGATACAACATTGCCCTAAGTGTGACATCCATCACCTGGACTTTATTCACTTGATCTGGTCCTGTCCACGGATAAGTTCCCTATGGCGCGATGTAATTGACTACATGAACTCTATGTCAAGATTAACCAGGGAACCCCACTCTGCCTCCTACATGATATACCTCATGGGCTTGCTTCTCCTGTTCCTTCCATCTCACGCTGGGAACACCTGTGACTGTTGGCCTCTAAAAAGATTATCCTCACTAACTGGCTATTGCCAAAAGTCCCTACGACGGAGGACCTACAATCCACTCTACACAAGCTTATGCTTCTCGACAAGGCAGACAAGCACAACGAGGAGAAGCGCATAGAACGTTTTTTCTCCACATGGTCTTCCTTCCTTACTGTGACCCTCCCCCCCGACCAACTCCAAAGTATCATGCGGTGCTTTCAAAACTCCAAATGGTACCTTACAGCCAGAATCTCAAATTCCCTAGGGGGATTGGACGTACTCTAGACCCACCGAGGCAAAAACTAATCTACATTCCCTGTAGGGGAATCGTCCCCATGGTAGCCACTCATTGACACACCCACTACTTTCTTCACAACACCCCGACATTGGACCCCTTGACGGCCAACCTGTCCCACATTTTCCTGGTAGATTCCGAATAATGATATAGTCGCTATAGTTGCTAAGGAGGGTATTGGCAGCACAGTTTACCCTCTCTGCTCCTACTCCATGACGCACCAAAGTATCTTTTCTTTCCTTTCCTTTTCTGTTTAGGATGTTCAACATTAAGCATTAAGTATTAAGATTTAGCTTAGTTGTTAGAAATGTTACTGTGGATCCATGCTACTGATTCAAGATTAACCAGGGAACCCCACTCTGCCTCCTACATGATATACCTCATGGGCTTGCTTCTCCTGTTCCTTCCATCTCACGCTGGGAACACCTGTGACTGTTGGCCTCTAAAAAGATTATCCTCACTAACTGGCTATTGCCAAAAGTCCCTACGACGGAGGACCTACAATCCACTCTACACAAGCTTATGCTTCTCGACAAGGCAGACAAGCACAACGAGGAGAAGCGCATAGAACGTTTTTTCTCCACATGGTCTTCCTTCCTTACTGTGACCCTCCCCCCCGACCAACTCCAAAGTATCATGCGGTGCTTTCAAAACTCCAAATGGTACCTTACAGCCAGAATCTCAAATTCCCTAGGGGGATTGGACGTACTCTAGACCCACCGAGGCAAAAACTAATCTACATTCCCTGTAGGGGAATCGTCCCCATGGTAGCCACTCATTGACACACCCACTACTTTCTTCACAACACCCCGACATTGGACCCCTTGACGGCCAACCTGTCCCACATTTTCCTGGTAGATTCCGAATAATGATATAGTCGCTATAGTTGCTAAGGAGGGTATTGGCAGCACAGTTTACCCTCTCTGCTCCTACTCCATGACGCACCAAAGTATCTTTTCTTTCCTTTCCTTTTCTGTTTAGGATGTTCAACATTAAGCATTAAGTATTAAGATTTAGCTTAGTTGTTAGAAATGTTACTGTGGATCCATGCTACTGATGGAGATGAATGCCTTGTATAATACCTCCTGACTACATGATTAGCCTGCTTCTGTTCATAAGATCCTATGGGGCACATGTACCTCTGTTGTTATAACATAGCTCCTCTTGTAACTCTTTATTCATCCTGTAGTGCATCCTTTGAAATACCAATAAAAATTACATGCGCAAAAAAAAAAAAAAAAACATACATTAAAACAGAGATGTACAAATCCCAGGAGCTCCGCGTGCTCCTTACAAATGACAGCGGCCTCCCTAACTTTTTAAATTTTTCTCTAGTCTAGTCTTGGAGCTGAAAAAGTATCTGTACTTGTACCGAGTACGGTACTTGGTATTGGTGCATCCCTAGTATGTATACAAGCTGCCCGGAACTGACTTTAATTCCTTATTGTACAGGGGACGTATGTGATCCCATTGCTGGCATCTGTACTTCAAGATAAGAATCACTTTGAGAGACCGGACGAGTTCTACCCACAACATTTTCTTGGTTCAGAGGGAAATTTCTTGAAAAAAGAAGCATTTCTGGCATTTTCAGCAGGTAATCTAATGTCAAATAACATAACAAGCCCTTTTATTACCTACATTACCAGTAGATCCAATCCATCTCCTTTTAAACCCCTTAACTATCCTGGTTAAGTCTTAAAAAAATCAAAAACGTTCACACTATCACTCACTGCAACTGAATCCCATTCCTAATCTTCAAAGCCCATCTCTGGGCAAACAAAAAAGTACCCTTGCAGTGGGGTTACCTCCAGACTCCTAGGGTTGAGTGCTTGTTTATAATTGTTTGTGTCTAGGGGCTGGAGTAAAGCAGATTTACTTACCTGATCCCCAGTCCCACTGGTTCCCTCAGGTCTGCTAGACCAGTTCCTGCAGCTTGCTCAGTGGTCTGGGAACCGGTGAAGCCATCATGTCTAATGCAGGTTCCCTAATGTGAGGATGCCCAAGGACATCCCACCAGCTGGAGTGGATAGGGAGAAGGGGAGAGCACTGACCATTGTGGGAATGGGGACTAGATAAGTAAATCTCCTTATACAGGCAGCTAGACCTTGGGGAGAAGCCCCACTGCAAGGGTACTTTTTTGTTTGCCCAGATATGGGCTTTAGGGCCCATTCACATATGTCATGCACACATCAAGATACAGTTTCAATATCCGCTTTTAATAAAGGAAGCTGAAGTGTAGAACAGCAGAATCTGTTTTTGATAGCCCCGCCACCCAAGATCTACAAGGTTAGATCACTGAAAGGAGCATGGCTGGGGTTCTTCTAAATTTCCCATTCACACTCTGAGGTGCGTTTTTTAATTGAGTCTATGTACTTTAACTTGCAAATTACCCATTTATTCCTGATGGGTCCTCAAAGAGCATCTATCTACCAAAAAACGCACTTGACCCTTTTTTTCCCCAATAACATTTTAATGTAGCACGTGTGTTTATACCTTAAAGGTGCATTTTTTTTCTTTTAGGTAAGAGAAGCTGCGCCGGGGAGAACTTGGCTAAAATGGAACTCTTCCTCTTCTTCACCACATTGCTGCAAAACTTCACCTTCAAGGCTCCTCCCGGGGCAGAGCTAGACCTCACCCCTGCAGTTGGATTCACAACTCCTCCAATGATCCATGACATTTGTGCTGTGCCTCGCAACTGATAAGAAAGGAGAATACACGCAACATGTAGAGGTGTGACTGGGAACCACAAAATGCCTCGAAAAATTCAGAAAGAAACGGTTTACACTTTAGAGCTATAAACTTTTTTTAAAGACCTTTATGTAGTAAATAGCAAAATGCGGCGGATTAATATAGAAGAAGGTTCAATATGACAGCAGATGTTAAAATATATACTTTGTGCATTTCTGACTATGAACACATTAGTGTACTGTATAAGTACTTACTTTAAGTGACACTAAACTCCGGAGTTAAATCTTAAAAATGCATTCAAGTACCGTAACGATGAACAACAATGTATCTTATTTATGTATCACTCGGCTGTAGATCCTCTAATCATCTCTGAATTGGTGCCGACACTGTCCTTCCTTCTGGAGGGGGGCTACTTTTGTTCCCCATGGTCCCCGTGTGTGTTGTAAAATAGTCACCACTCCAAGCTCACTCCCGGGATGGACTACAATCTCAATACAAATTAGTAAACTAAGCACGAGATTGTAGTTCATCACCGGAGCGAGCTTGGAGCTGTGACTACTTTACAACACACACAGGGACCATGGGGAACCAAAGTAGCCCCCCTCCAGAAGGAAGGACAGTGTCAGCACCAATGCAGAGATGATTGGAGGATCTACAGCCAAGGGATACACAAATAAGATACATTTTTATTAATAGTTAAGGTACTTGAATGTATTTTAAACATTCAACTCCTGAGTCTAACGTCACTATAACATGCTACATATTTGCTCACGATCATCAACTGTGAACACGCAAAGCCGGAGACAATAGGACTTAAAAAGTAATCACAACAGACAGTCTATGTAAAGCTCTCCTGGCAAGAGTCCTGTCTGTAATTCTGCAAAAAAAAACATCCACCAGAAAATCTCATCGATCTAATGTTTCTTTTCTTTGTGGAGTAGTAAAACAAGGTCCAAAATGCAACTACAGGACTAGAGGCTAAGGGTCATCCTGGTCTGATGTTTGATGTACTCTCTGTTGGTAAATATTTAAATGAGTAAAGACCTGAAAATCTTTAATCTGAATGATGATCCTGCAAATAAAACTGGACTGAGATAAATGACAAAAACACATCGGTGCTTTCTTGTGCATTAGACATCCAACCGACCCGAGTACAAATTATCCTGGTAAAAGAATGCGGCAAGGAAGCCTATATACAGCTCACCTGGCAATAGTCCTGACTCTAATTCTGCAAAAAGTCCCTAAACCCTTCTATATAAAAAACACAAAAAACACTCATTCCATTCTTCTTTTTTATATGATTTACTGCAGGAGCATTTTTTTGCACAAATGTAAAAATCTGCATTTTGGCTAGAAAATTAGTTAACACACCAAAAAATGATATATTTCCTGAAGGAACAGGCCTGTGTTATAAAAAAGAAAGTAGCTGCAATTTTTTATATTCATCTGATTATCCACTTTTCCATATCCAATCTCCACTAAACAGCCATAACATTATATTCTCCCAAATTATATTGAGTAGGTCCCCCTTTGGCAACCAAAACAGCCCTGATCCATCAAGGAATGGACTCTACTAGACCTCTGAAGGTATGCTGTGGTATCTGGCACTAAGCTGTCAGTAGCAGATATTTTAAGTCCTGTGAGTTGCAAGGTGAAGCCTCCTTCGCTCCCCACAGGCAAAAGTGAGCCTTGGCCGCCCATGACTCTGATGCCGGTTCAACAGTTTTCCTTCCTTGGACCACTTTTGGTAGGTCCTGACCGCAGCAGACTGGGAACATCCAACAAGAGCTGCAGTTTTGGAGTTGCTCTGACCCAGTCACCTAGACATCACAATTTGACCCTTGTCAAAGTCACTCAAATCCTTTCACTTGTCCATTTTTTCTGCTTCCAACACATCAACTTCAGGGACAAAATGTTCACTTGATGCATAATATATCCCCCCCCTCCCCCACTTCCAGGTGTCATTGTAATATATCCCCCCCACTTCCAGGTGTCATTGTAATATATCCCCCCACTTCCAGGTGCCATTGTAATCTATGCCCCCACTTCCAGGTGTCATTGTAATATATCCCCCCACTTCCAGGTGTCATTGTAATATATCCCCCCCACTTCCAGGTGTCATTGTAATATATCCCCCCCTCTTCCAGGTGTCATTGTAATATATCTCCCTTCCCCTACACTTTGAGGTGTCATTGTAATATATCCTCTCCACTTCCAGGTGCCATTGTAGCCAGATGATCAATGTTATACTCTTTAACTCACAGTGGTGACAATGTTATTGTTGATCTGTGTGTATTTTCAGTAACAAAATATATCAAAATTAATTTTAGTGCACAAAAACACGAAAATCTTTTACTTTTTTTGTAAAAAATAAAAGATGAGGTTATGTTGAGTAAGTAGTTACCAAGCCTCAAAGATACAGTATGTGTGCCTGTAAAATGGAACAAGGTCGGGTTCTTTTTAATTTTAATGATCTAAATAAAAAATATAGTAATGTTGCTGCAATTGCTGATGATGTCATATAGGGTTGCACAGATACCAAGTACAGTACTCGGTACAAGTACGAGTACATGTACAGATACTTTTGAGCTCCAAGACTAGACTAGAGAAAAATTCAAAAATTAGGAGGCAGCTGTCATTTGTAAGGAGCACACGGAGCTCCAGTGATTTGTACATCTCTGTTTTAATGTAGGATTTAGTTTTTATAAATATAAATAAAGGGATGCACAGATACCAGTTTTGCGAGTACGAGTACTGATACATTTTTGTTTAGTGTCATGTGACAGTTTTTCTAAAACAATACAGACTAATGATTTCAGGACAGTGGTGGAGTGCCAGAGCCAGGTCCCAGCTGCAACCGCTGCAACCCTGGTAGTTCTCATGAAAATGCCAAGTATCTGCACTGGTACTCGAAAAGTATCTGTGCATCCCTAATGTCATACATTGTAAAATGCAAAGGATTGCACCTAAGCTGTTGGAAGAGCAATGTTCCCAAGACATCATACATAAGACAGCTCAGCAAAACAAAGGTGGACAAGGACTTGGAAATAGAGGCTAACAATAAACGTAGCAGCATCACTCAAAGCCAAACCACAGCTATAAAAGTACATAAAATCTTGGGATTTATGAAAATAAAAATAAAAAACATTATCCTACTATAGCATTGCCTCTGTATTAATTACTTGTAAAGCCACATGGAGAATACGGGGTTTAGGGGAACACATAGGGACTGAGTTATAAATCATCTACCCAGCCATAGGTTGAGCAAATGCTAATCACACGGCATTCCCACCACACTTAAGCACCAGAGATGGTTGATCCAGGGAATATCCGATTGCCTTGTGGGATCAGGTAGGAATGTTTTTCCTCTGTTGGATGGTGGGGGGGGGGGGGGGTTGCCTTCCTCTGGATCAACAGTGGGTAATTGTGGGCATAGCGTTCGGTTTTAGATTTTTTTTTTTTCATATCTCTATAGGTTGAACTCTATGTCTTTTTCCAAACTAACTATGTAGATGGAGCTGAGGAGAATTCCTATGCTCCTTCGCTCCATATAGTAGTGGGAGTGCCCTGCGAATGGCATTCACCCAGCGTACGGCTGAGCGGAAATTTTATAAATGAGCCTTATATTAAAAAAGGACAAATTTTGTAAAACATCTTAGTGGTGACTTAACTGACATAGTAACATGTCCAAGGCCAGTATAGAGATTAGACAAATTCACTTTTTTTTATCTAAAGGGCTGTATAAAGGACAAGGGAAAGCAGCATGTGTAAGGAAGAGTTAACACTCAGTTTAGAAAGGGCTTCTTTACAATAAACAAGGATAGACCTGGAATGTCAACAAAGAAAATGGAATTTGAAAAACGATTTGGTCACTTTCTTGCAAGTAATAAAAAATTCTAAGATGAGATCATCCTAAAATATTATTAATAATAAGAAAACACTTTTGATAAAGCGAATTGATTTGCCTTTCCTTGGGGGCATGGAAAGAATATTTTTTTCTTCCAATTTGGGGCAACAGGTGCCCAGACGGGTTTTCTTTTGTCTTTCTCTGGACCAAAATTGCCGGAGTTGAGGGTGAATTTGATGGGGCTGAAAGGGTAAACCTGATGGGTATAAGTGTTTTTTTTTACCTTATTAACCGTGTTATGATTTTCAAATTTCCACATCAGATCAATTTGATTTTCTTTTCCTATTGCTTGGTTAAAGGGGTCTGGAATGCTGAAAAAAATTCAGGAGGTAAATATAGATGATTGTACACTGTAGATGGCCCACATTTATGTAAACATGAAAGCAGACCTGCACCCATCAAAAGAACGTTCTCCTTTTTCCTCCCCTCACTCATACACAAAAGCAGAATGTTTTATCATTTGGGGAAATGTTTAGTTTCTTTTTTTTTCTGCTGCAGCTCAATATTTCCAGCTTTCCTCCCTAGGTGAGACTGACATAAAAACCCTGATGCCTCGTAGAACATTCACATCACATATCCCAAGAGGCAGTGTTTTACTGAGGGGCGCATGCATGTTTGTGAGATCCACAAATGTATAGACATAACATTAGTCTCCCCCGGTATTTAGGACCTGACAGAGACCCACAGCATGTCTGCATATGCACAGAGGACCTAGATACCCAAAACCAATGCCATGTGTACATGTAAAAAGGAACAGGAATCCTCCACACGTGCGCAGACACGTGAAGGTCTTGTTGCCGAATGTCCTAATAGCAGGAAACAGTGCTGCGAGTGACTGCGGATGGCGCCGCTTGTTGCATGAATCAATTGTAAGAATGTCAACAGCATTCCAGAAGTCCTTACAGGATAATCAAGTGTTCATTTATGAAGAACCATGTCAAATGAATACAAGCGCTTTCAGGGCCATGAAGGGTCCCTTCATCAGGCTTAACATTGAGTCAAACCAGACATGGCTTGGGTCTGTGCCAGGTCCAAAGAACCTATAAACATCTGCGACACAACTGCAGCATGGTAGAGGAGCATTGGGAGGAGAATTTTGACAGGCTGAAGTTCCTCTTTTAGGGCCTATTCACACCACAATGTAGAGCACTGCAACACGTGTTTTCATTC